GGGGGGAACTTCCAAGATAACACAGAGTAGGCAGACAAGCCTGGATCCGACAATGAAACATTGGATCACAACAGTCTGATGTGCAACTGATCGTGAGGATGGCATAGGCCCAAGCCATGTTTTGGCCTGTGGCACCCTGAGGTGCTATGAGTCGGGAGCCAGCTCACTTACAGCCAACAGTCATAACACTTGCCTCCCAGATACATCCCTTTCTTTGCAGGCCTATGAAAGTTGCCTTCCGCATTTGCCCTTTTCTTTTTGGTCCTGTGAAAATGTTGGTGAGCTCCTGCTGGTTGTTCTAGCTCTGCCATTTCCACCCCACCATTCCTTATAGATAGGGTCTCTGGTATGAAGCCCTGCTCAGCTTCAGAATAAGTACCACCTCCATCACATTACTGCTTGTAAGAAACCTGCACTCTACCGGCTCGCTCAATTCCCCTGTGCCCTGTAAACTCATGCAGTTACAGGTGCCAGCAATGAAGGTGCCGACAGCCTTGGCGACAACTCTCCTGCCTCCAAGAATCTAGCCCTACACAAGTACATCAAGTACTTCATTTGTTTTGAGCCTTGGAGAGAATCAGGTGTCTGATTCTATATCTTGGGCCATTTGTCTTTTGACACTGTGGCACACTTCAGTACTCCTTTACACACCTTGTTTGCATTATTTATGAAGTGATTCCTTATCTTCCTTCATTTTTGGAGGGGGGTGGCGGGGAATCCTCGTAAGCCCATGGATGTACCCTATTCATTCTCACCACCACATCTTTGCTCTTGCTTCTCCCCAACAATGACACCGTTGTTCTCCTCCTCCAGTTCTCTAGATGCAATGGCTGTCTCCTCACCATGCCCTCTTGCTCACCGAATGGCATAGAATTCTTGTTGAATGTGAAGGGAGTACTGCTTAGCTGATTATTCTCTAATTATTGCCTGTAGATGACTATTAACTACTGTCCTTGACTGTCAAAAGTACCAATTATTGAGGGTATACTTAATACTAGGCCTGCTACTAGGGGTTGCTCATTAATTCATTAAGCAGTTCTGACCTAGGCATGAAAAGTCTACCGAAGATGTCCAAAAATGGAAACTCAAGGAGATTAAATGTGGAATTCAAAGTTTACAGTTAATGAGTCACAAAGCTAAGAGGGTGCCTGATTCACAGTGAACTGTTAATAAATGTGAATTTGACCAAACACTCTGTGTATTTAACATGGGTGTCTTGAGGCCAAATCTTTTGACATATATTGGTCTCATTTTCCCAGAATTCTGTGCACTGAAACTCAGCTCAAATATGATTGAGTCATGATTTTCGTTTGCTTTTCAGGGCCTCAAAACAGAGCATTGATCATGAGAGGAGCTATGGCCTGGAAAATGATGTTACTTTGGCCAAGACTCTTCAGCAATACCTTCCATACCTGGGGGTCCTGTCCCAGGCCACAGCTTCAAACGTGTACCCCAGGATGAAGACTGACAAACCACCAATTAAGGTAGAAACTTATAACTTACATTTTATGATCTGAGTTTGTCTCTTAGTTGGCTCCTCACAGTTTTCTCCAGGGTGCAGATACTTATGAATGTTTCATAAGTCTTCAGCTTGTCTTGATTTGGCTCCTTTATCCCCTACTAATAGAAAGGAAGTGATGGACTGGGCTACTCAGAGAGGGATGCTCACGGCACCCCTTCTTGTGTGACACATACTTCTAAGTTCAGCAATGTGGATGCTGCTGAGCCTACAGTAGGTGGCCACCTGTTGTGAAGAAGCTGAGCCAATTAAATGTCCAAATCACCCCCACTTGGGACTAAAGGTCGTTCCTATGCCTTTGGAATTGTAACTCTAGAAAATTCACTCTTAAAAATATAAACATAGCACCTAAGAGGCAAACCCGATTATCACTCTAAAAGAAAAGGACTATGAATTCACTATTTGTAATCTAGGGCATAGAGCATCCAAGGAGATTATAGCGATGGATGCTCAAAATTGAAGGGGGCAGAGGGTGGAGGGCAAGAAGACACCGGAATTGCTTGGAATTTGTAGGCTTAGGGTGACCAACTATCCCAGCTTTCCCACAACTGTCCTGGTTTTACCATTGAAAGTCTGTGTCCCAGGAAACTCCACAGTCCCAGGCCAACTGTGAGGCTGTGCAGCTGCCTGAGTGGGAGTAGGAATTTTGGTTCCGGAAGAATGAGATGGCTAGATCAGGAAGCTAGGAGAAACACAAATGATGGAAAATACATGGCTATAAACTTTTATCCAGAGCAAGCCCTAACCATTCTAATCCTCATCTTAGACAAAGGCAAAGTCTGACTGAGAGCCATTTTCGAATGTGAAACTTATTCACAAAAGCATTTTGGAGGCATGGAATTAGAAATATCCATGACATTTTAAAATGGGAAAGTGCTCATGATTAGCATGACAACTTATTCAACAGAATTGCCGAATTCTGACTTGCCTGGAAAGGGAAGGAGATGGCTACTAAAAGAATTATCTTCAGAGGCTGAGGACCATTATATAGTTTGAGTACAGAATTGTGGGCAAAATGTTGAAGTCCATATTATCCTGAGCATGTTGGATATTTGACAGTTATACAGTTTGAGTACAGAATTGTGGGCAAAATGTTGAAGTCCTTATTATCCTGAGCATGTTGGACATTTCACACTTTCTCTTTGACAAAGAGTTAGTTATACCACCACTTAAATTTGACTTTTTTTTTTCTTTTCTGAGATAGAAGCCAAACTGGACAACGTGGAGATTATTTTAGTTTCCTTTTAAATTCACCAGGATTTCATTGGGAGATTGGAGGCCCTTGGATTACCCTTGGCAATATCCGGAAAGCAATTTGGCCCTTTAAAAATATATCCTGTAGTCAAGAGGTTGAAATTCTTTCATAAATTCCGTGTTGTTTGTTGGGCAATGAGCACATATGTGGGAAGGTCAGGTCAAGGTGTTTTTGAGAGGAGACACCACTGGCGGGAGTTCATTTAGAATCTTGGTGAAATCTTGAATCTCGCACATCACAAAACAGATGTGCTTGAGCTGATACCTAGGGCTCAAGTAGAAAGAAAAAGTTTTGAAAATGATGGTGGCAACATATGTACAAATATGCTTGACACAATGGATGGATGAGTAGATTGTGATAAGAGCTCTAAGAGCCCCCAATAAAATGATTAAAATGACCCAAACAAAACCAGATTTGCAGATTGTTATAGAAGAATGCTGCAATTCCATAAATTCGGTGGAGTTTGATGTGGGCCGGATTAAGACATTCTATAGATTAAGAGAAAGGTCAAGATCTTTTGTGCTAACTGTTCTCTGAAATACCTTACATTTTGGCCCTTCTTAGCTATGTTTCGCCATCCAGCCTTTTAAAATATCTTTGATTGGGATGCATTTAGTAATGGTATCTGAACAGAGTGACTATCACTCTCTCATGCATCAGGAATTAAAAAAGTGTTGATACTGACCCAAGGCACTTGCTAAGACCAGATTGGATTCCAAAGCCCCAGGAAGACGGAATTGTATGGTTCCAGGGAAATCCAGACATTTTCCTCAGTGGCACAACATCCATAGTTTTCCTCTAGTAGAGAAGCAGCAGGGAAAAGATCCTCATGGACTGGCTGCTGAGTAGCCTGGACCATAAGAATGTGTTGGCCCCTGTTGTGGAGGGGAGAACGGGAGTCTTCATTCCTTGGGAAGGACACCGGTTACAGAGGTCTCCTATCCTCTGAAGGAGCCAGGAGAAGGCAAAGCACTAATGACCCCAGCACTGCATTTTTCCCAAGCTCCCCCAAACCCCCCACACCACCCACCTAGAACTTTTGCCACAGTGAAAAACACAGCTTAAAAAACTTTCCTTTGAATTACCTGCCACTGTCCATAGGCCCCAAATTTATTTGGCCTATTTCCTGCTTTTTGGGGAAAAATTTCTCCGTACTCCCCTAACGTATAAAAACTTATGTACTGTAACACATAATTAGGGATGAAATGTAAGTATCTGCTCTCACAACTCCCCCTGGATCTCTCCACGGCCCCTCAGGGGCAGAATCATCCACTTTGGGAAACACTCATCAAAAGACGAGTCTTAGCCTCATAGGAAGCAGGTTCATTCAACTCTAATGTTGGTAGTTATACTTAAATTTAAAGGTTTTTTTTTTCTGTTTTGCATTTTTTTCACAAATATTTACTTCAATATTCCTTGTTTTTTTAGTCAGAGACCAAACATGTTTGTGGAAACATGAAGAGTCGCACCTGGTTTTTTTCCCCTAAGGGAATTGATGAAGGGAGCATGTGTGCAGTGACATCAGGCATGCCAGCCAGTTGTGAGCTTTGCTGGTCCACCCAACAGCTCTCTGCCCCAGGGGAGCGGCTTCACCTCCCTGACCTCAGGTTCCTCGACTATAAAGCTGGGTGATAATCGTCACGATTGTTGTAAGGCTCAAACAAGAAAACACATGTAAAACTCATAGTGAAGTGTTCAGTATATATAAATTACTATATTTTTGCTGCTAACATATTAATAAAATCATGCTGCTAATCTATTAATATAATGGTATTTCAAAGGTGAAGTGAAAATTACATTGCGAGTCTTAGAAAACCATTCAGTGGACGCTGAGTAGATTTCTTTGACTGTACAAAGAAAAATCAGAGAAAAGCAACTGCACTTGCAAAACAAATTTAATCAATATAACCCAGTGCCTTAGAATACCAAGAAGCAGCAGGCTGCCATTCCCACCGTAAGCAATGCAATACAGATTTCATTTGTTTATTTCACGGCACAGTGGAAAACCAACATCTCTCCCAAGTCTCTTGAATATTGGTAATTTAAGTACATACAAATATAAAATCATCTTTTTGTCTTCCTCCTCTGTCCCCTGTTGTGTCTTTATCAAAGGGATCAGAAGCTTCATGCTCAGTCTTCACTACTGCTGTGGGATTTCTGGGCTTCTGTAATAGAGACATCACATCATGTCCCTAGATGCTGGACATGAATAATCAATACACAGCAACCCGTGTGAAGTCCAGAGATGGTTTTAGTAATATAAGTGATAAGGGAGAGAGAGTTATTAAAAGTTCCAGAGACTCAGAAGAACTTTGAATGAAAGAAAATCAGTTGAAATTTCTCTGTGAAGCCTGTGAACATGTTTTTCTCCTCACCTAATGGGGACATGATATAAGCCTAGACTTACGTCCTACGTGCCCTCTCTCTGTGCTACAGAAATAGACTGGGGAAGGCATGTACATGCCAAGGAACAATTTGCCTGATGGGACAACTAACAAAGCAACTAACGACCCAACAATCACACACTAATCAGTAGTAGTTGTGGCAGAGGGGCTTTCTAGTCGTGACTTAGGCACCCTGTGATTCTAATACCAGAGAATTTTAAACGTAGGACCCAGGATGGTTCTTAACCCAGTCTTCCCCATTCTGAAACTATGTTGTGACTGGATGTCTTTGCACTGGACCGTGCTTTCCTTCAGAAGCCCATGATGGGAATGTTGGGGAAGTTCGGTCTCGTGTTACATCACTTTGACTCTGCTAAGCCATCTAAGGGCCCCAGTGGTAGTAGGAAAGGGATGGCATCTTGTCCTTGCCTGCATCCTTACTTACACCCTACTTCTACAGATAGTAGGAATGGGAAAACTGAGACCAGCCTTGGGTTTATGAAGTATCCCATTCTGCAATCATTTTCTACCCTCTATGAGGGTAGACTTCTGGAATCTTTAAAACCCTTGCCTTGAAGGATGGTTCTATATCATGGTTTATGATCCAGCATCATTATGAGTGACACCTTTTTCCTCTTCAAAAAAGAGTCTCCATTTGAATAATACACAATATGTATATCCTACCACTCAGACGCTTTAGCACTCTGGTTGTAAGTTGGGACTATTCAGAAAACGAGCACTTGGTGGCATTTTTGTCTTAGGTATTAGCATTTTGCTTCTGTGTTAAAATAAATGGTGTTCTACATTTAAAGATGCATGAAACCCCAGAATGTATTAGTTTTCTGTCCAGTGTGTAAATGAGGAGAAGACTCTCAGTCATCTCTCTAGTGAACAGAGACTGAATAAAGTATGGGAAGTGCATAATCAGATCCTACCAAAGCTACTGTGCAGATGCTTGTTGCCAATAAATATCGTCGTCCAGGGATTTGGGCAGTGTTTTCTGACAACTCCCATCCCCTCAGTTGATAAAATAGTTCAGTTAGAAATGTAGGTTTTACATACTGATGATCTTTCAAGGGACAATCAATTCTGTTAGGTAATCAGAACAGGGACTAGGCTGTCCACTGGGCATGCTCAAAAATTCAGTCTCCAAGCCGGGAAGGGGCGGTATACCTGGGTGGGTGGTATACCTGGGTGGGGCCCAATCTGGGCCAGGTGAGCTTAATTCAGCCAATGGGATCCACCAGCACCATCCACCATGCCTCCCAGCAGAGGACCCTGAAAAGCCCGATTTGGAGACCATTGGGCTCTTTTCCAGCTCTCTCT